GTCCTGCAGGGATCCCAGCTGGACAGTCTTTTCTGGGGGAATCTTCAAATCCTGCAGACCTGGGGGGTCCCCGTCCCCAGACCCTTTGGCAGCTACCGGATCTCTCCCAACTGATCCTCAGCTTTCCATACACTAAGGAGGGGTTTTCTTCATTACGGCACTTGGCAGCACTGTGTCCATCCTGACCACATCGGTAGCAGAAGAATTGACCTTTCCCCCTTCGCCTGGGGGGGATGGTGGCTCTAAGTGCGGGCTTCTCAATCGCCACAGTTTGAGGCTTCTTATTCCTGGAAGTCTTAACTCGGTCAACGGTACTTTGCAGCTCAGCTATCCGTTCCGTCAGGACCTGCATTTGTTGGGCAAGTTCCTCTCTGGTGCTCACCATCAGTACACTGGCCGTTTGCAGTGGTGTTGTGCTGGCTGGATCCGATGTTTGGGCTTCCCAAAACTCACTGGCAGCCTGCCTTTCTTCCTCCTCTCGGACCTCTTTTATCAGCTGGGAGTAACTTGGGGGATGTTCCCGTCGTTCTCTTAGCTGGAGATGAAGTAGAATCGGGTTCTGATACTGAGTTCCTCTTACAATTTGAGCCAGTCTGGTCTGATCCATCTGCTCAGCAGTCACTACTCCCCTCATGACAGCTCTCTGAAGCAGTCTCTCCAGTCTCTGTATGTAGGCTGAAGCCTTCTCGCCCTTTTGTTGTCAGGAATTAAGGAACTTACAGTAGCTGTCTTCAGGGCCCTCTACGCTCCCAAAGTTGTGTTCAAGGGCCTCTAGGCAGTCCTTCACACTGACCTCAGGGTCAATGAGCTTCAGGGTGCGAATCACATCTAATGCTGGGCCGCCAAGGCTCTCTATAAGGCATCTTCGCTTTTCTGCATCTGGTACGGCCCACTCTTGCAGCATTTCAGTGGTATGCTCTAACCAGGGTTCAAACTCCTCCTCCCCAGCAAATAATCTTAACTTACGACAAGAGTCTGACTCAGCATGGGGCAGCACAACCTTTTCCAATATTTGCCCCAGAGCTTTTGTCCAATCATCAGCCGAGGCTGCAGCCTCTGAGCTAGAAGCTGCTGAGCCAGGGCCCAACAAACCTGACATATTAGCCATTATACAAACAGTAATTTCCTCAAAATATAAGCACAAACAAAAAAATATAAATTGTTTCCCAATGTAGTGGATCACTCAACAGGTGCTTGCGAGGGGTACTGACCCAGGCGATCCCGGACGAGCCCCCAAAAATGTAACCCTTCTGCCCGTCAGAGTTGGCAGCAACAAGGGCCGGGTTCAATATCTAGGGGTTCCATTCCAATAACACAATGCAAACCGGCTCGAGCCCCCACCCAGTGACCTGGGACAAATATATACCACCCCCGCTGGGCGCCTCCAAGAGGCAATACTTCCCCTCTCGCAAGCACACAGTCTGAGTGTAGCAAAAGCCTTTTAATAACAGAGAGAAACAATGTGGCATTATGTTGGGGAAACACCACCAACAGGATTCATAACACAACCCATGAGCAAAAATAAAGAACCCACCCCAGGCAAATTGGGGCATGCCCTTTTCCCTTTGGTTCTTGAGTCCAGCAACCCCAAATCACCCAAAGTCCCAAAAGTCCAATGCCCCAAAAGTCTCTGTCCCTGGTCAGGGCAGCCCCAGAGTTCGAAAGTTTATCTGCGGAGCTTTACCTCCCAACCTGGGTGGAAATGGGACAGGGGTAAGAGGCACCTTACATGATCTGAAGCTGACCGCCCCATAGCTCCATAGCGGCACTCCGCTCCGCCAGCCGCCCCACAAACTCCTTCGCTCAGCTGCACTCCGCTCTGCCAGCCGCCCCACGAACTCCTTCGCTCCGCTCCACTCCCTCCGCCAGCCGCCCCACGAACTCCTTCACTCAGCTGCGCTCTGCTCCGCCAGCCGCCCCACGAACTCCTTCGCTCAGCTCCACGGCCCACAAGCCGCTCCTGCCATCCACACACTGCTCCGCGTCGAACTGCTTCACCAGCCATCCCGCAAACTGTTCCACAATATATCTTCAAGCTCCCCCACTACTTAACACAACACTCAGTGATTTCAGCTCTTAGGTGAATTCAGCTTGTAGTAGGGGAGCCCCAGTGCTGGTGCACTGTCAGCCCAAAGTGAGCTCAGCAGCCTATAACTAGACTTCTAATGAAATCAAAATTAGCTCTGATATTCCACAGTGGAGAGAGGAGGAAGTGCAATTAGCATGTAAGGCCCTCACCAAGGGGCCCATGCCACCAAGTATTAATACTTGTCCCCAGCCTCTCTCCATTCACACAGTTTTGGAACCCATGACCCTTGCCTAGCGAGTGCTACTTAGTTGATGGTGAATCCCTCCATCATAACAAAAGGCCACGTACAGTTCCAAGCACAGTTCCCATAATCAGGGTAATAACAATTTATTCTTCCTGCCCCAATAACAGAGACACTGGGGATCCCACAGCAGCCAAAGTGACCATTTGGGCAGCTATGGTCTCATTCTAGGTGGGGTGGGTGTGCCTATGCAAATGAGATCGGCCCCTGAAGTTCTTTTCCACAACTTGCCACACCTCACCACCAGATGTCAGGGTGGAGCTCATCCTGACACTGCTTACACAATACTGACAGTTCCCCACCCCGACCTGAAAACATGATGAAAGGCGAAAACTTGAAAATTTTCCCTTATTAAAAATGGCCGCCATCTCCTATTACTGCCAGTGAGTCTGAAACCAGCAATATGGCTGCCGTTTCCCTACCGTCCATCTGCATGTGGAAGTGAGGCTGCCCTTGATAAAGTTGGCTGCCACCTTCCGTTGTTTACAATGAGATGGAGGCCCAGGCAAAATGGCTGCCATTCTGGTTCGGGGGGCTAGACAGGGCACAGGGACTGTGAGGAGCTCCAGAGACAGGGCTAAAAGCGGATGGGGCAAGTGAGGGGGAGCAGAGCACTTGGGAGAGAAGTAGGCAGATTTAGGGGGTGCAGGAAAATGGGCTGCAGGGCAATGTGGGGGGCAGGAAGGAGGGGATTGCAGGAGTTTGAAGGAGGAGGTGGGGTATGCAAGTGGTGGAGTGCTGTCTAGTCTCTGGCTGAGACATGGTGGCTGGGGACTCAGGGAAGTTCTGGTTCTTGGAAAACGGTAAACCAATCCCATTGTACATTTACTGTAACTTTGTCGCTTATACCCTTATTTGAATAAGTTTCAAATTCTTTGATAAGTATATCTGTCACTCATCAACCCTAAAAAGTAGTATAAGTTCTATGTGCAAGTGTGAGGTCAGTGTTTCTCAAACTATTTACAATTCAGCCTTTCTTTTATCAAAGGAAATAAACATGGATGGCAGACAATCAAGACTGTGACAGGAAAGGAATAGAAGTTCCTCTATATTATGGGTGAGGACAGACTAAATCCAGTCTGAGCAACCAGGGAGAGGCACGAATTTTTGTGTACACTGAAGATTGGTTTTTCAACCTGATGTTATTTCACTCACGTTGGTGTAGTAGGAAGAGAGCTTGAGACATCAGCCCTTGTATCAGAGGCCTGAGGCCTGGGCTAAAGTAGTCGTCAAAGCTTTGCTAATATAAAGCAAAATCAGGCTGTGACCTGGAGGCAGGCCCTGTTGACAGAATTTGGCAAGAACAGGGCTGATATTGCAGAAATACACATTCCTAAGAATTGCTAGGCAGTGAACACACACACACATAAGCACATTCCAGAAGGCTGGTACCAAAACACCTCGATACCAACACATTCCCCAAAGATAACAGGAACACATTGACCCATTTTAAAGATAAGGTCAGGATGACAGCACGATGAATAGAGATGTTTTGATCAAACCAACATGTACAAAGTGGCACCTAGCCACATCAGAGGGGCAATACGTAACTTGTTTGTATCGGTGTATAAAATGGAGTCTCAGAGGGCGTGTCTTTGGCCCACCAAGGGCAGAATGGAAGGTCCCGCCATTCACTGAGCTGTGTGCATTATCCCGGACACACATGTGTTAGTGTAACTGTGGACACTGATCTGGGGAGTTAGGACCATGCTTCGTTGGTAATAAACCTGGCCGGGTGCCTCCGCTATTGAAACGGGTCTTGGTCTCTCATTGGGCGGTTCCATTGAGGTCTGCTGTGCAACAATCTGCACAGAGCTGGGACAGCACACAGAACACACACGCAGCCAAACATGTGACTACATTTGGCAAACGAGTAGAAGGGAGTTAAAAAGTTAAGACACTAAAAAAACCACAATTTGATATTTTTAAAAAATTTTCAAGGGTCTAACTCATGATTTTTGATCTCTTGATGTTGGCAATGCTGGGTTGTTTTTATTGTCTTAAAGTAATTGAGTTTGTAACATCAAAATATGCTGCATCTGGGATTTGCTAAAAAAACACTGGACTCTGTCCTCAATTCCACCAAGTTCACACTCAGCACTGATGAGGAGATTGAAGAAACTGGTGATAAGCGACCTCTGCACTGCCCTGATCCTGGGCCGGGTGGGGGGACAAAACGGCCTCTGGTCTAACATAGAGGAACCTCAGGGCCCTAAGATATACAGGATGCTGTGCCAGCCTAGGATAAGTGGAGCACCATGCACTCTGCCCCGGATATACACCTCCATACTCCTCCACACCTTCTACCTGGAGGAAGAGTGATGCAGGGAGTGGGTGGTACAGAGTGGGCTGTACCTGCTTTCTACCACCTGAGAATTACCCTGAGTCAGGGGGCTCCTTGGCTGCCCCTTTAAAGCAGCTGCCCAGCTGCTTTCCCTGCTCAGCAGGGACTCAGGCCTGAGCCCACTACATTGTTCAATTGTCTAACTAGTAAAATACAAGCAGTGAACACATCGGTGGGTCTCTATTCTTCACCTGGGGAGCAGAGTGGGGCTGGTCCATGGCTGGGTTCCATGCACTGTAAGACATTGTGATCCTGGTACACTGAGTTTAACTTACAACATCACAGTGATACCAGGTACACACTAAAGGGACCCAGCTGTTACTTACCCCAGTCTCTGCAGTTTGCAGTTTGGATGTTTCAGCCCCTCACACAGCTGCCGCATTCCTGAATACTCCAGTTTGTTCCGCCTTAGATCTAGGTATGTCAGGGTCTGGCTGGTGCAGAGAACAAAGGAGAGATCCCCACAACATGCAGCATTGAGACCACAATCGCACAGCCTGCAGGAGACAGATGTATACAGAGTAAAATGACTTGTGTATGCCCCATTCTCTGCATCTCCCCTCACTGAGACCCATGTGTATCTCCAAAGGGATTCTTAATTCAGAGACAGCGGCTAGGAATAATGTTATCTACTTATTTTGATTGAAATAATCATAAAAAGACACCTACTGAAAGTTACAGGTCCTTAACATATAATTAATTATATAAAACTCCCCTGTGTTAAGAGAATATTAAGGCTGCAAGATCAAGCACCCAAAAGTTAGGAACTGCCAAGCTTTAGGCTGCCTAGGCAACCTTAATTTAGCTCCTTTCTGTGTGTGCATTTTGATACAATCTGGGCAGGGAATTCTGGTCGCTGCTGGTGGTCGGGGTGGGGAGAAGTGGTGCGGAGCTCTCCCTCCTCCCCCATACTGTTCCTGCTGTCCATCCGCCTTCCTGCCTACCTCCACCTGCTCTGAAGATGCTGTGGAATCATTGCCTTTTTTTCTTTTTAAGGGCATGCGGGTGCATGTGCTCCCCCTCAGACTTTCCTCTTCTTTCTCCCTTCAATTTGCATTAGTGGATTGGTGGGCCTCCTTCTCTTTCCTCTGCCTGCCCAGCAGTCCCTTCCGCCCCACCCCCAATAGTGCCCCCTTGCAGTTTGCTGACCCCATCTCAGGGGGTCCCTCTTGTGATCCACTTTCCCCCATGGTGTGTTGCCTGTTTCCTCTGCCCTTCCCAACCAGACCCCTCGCTACTTGCTGCCTTTTGCCCCACCCAGCCCCACGTGTCCTGTGCACCCATGTGTGTCTGTGTAGGTGTTTCTCCCCATTTTGTTTAATTCCTACTCAACTGCACCCCAGACATACCCACTTATATGCACCCCTTCACTACCAGTGTGGCTGGAGAAGCAGGCCCCACTCCATACTGTTTACAACAAGCTCCACTGGCTTTTCATTTATCAGATTGATCCCGCCGTTGACGTTTGCTCCCTCCTCACCACACAGCAGTGTAGTGCAAAGGCTGGGGAGCAGTGTAGTGGGGAGAAGTTGTTAGACTCTGCACAGGCTCCAAAATGCAGCACAGACATACCCTCAGACTCAAATTCCAAGCTATGTGTCTTGCTGACGTTCAAATGTGCCCCTCCCAGCCCATCTGCTTAGCACAGCTGGGTTCCCCGCTCCCAGAGGGGCTTTCTGGGTGTGTGAGAAATGATCTTCCTCCCTTCCCTGTATCAGCCCCACCTGCCATCGCAAGAGGTGGGTTTACAGGGCTTGTAGCATGAAGGGATTCACAGTGATTCCTAGAGAGTGCTCCTTTTAGTGTGTTTCAGAGCTGGAACACAGGGGTCTCCACCCCAGGTAAATGCAGGCTCCTGTCCAGGCTAGAGCTGGGCACAGAATGGATTGTTCAGTTTGCTGGCAACTTCAAACAATTACAATAATGTTTCATTTAGAGTTGAATGGAAAATGAAACTTTTCAAAATTTTTGATGAGTTGAAAAGTCAGAAAAAAAAATTCAAGTTGAAACGTTTCATGTTCACCCATCTCAATTTTTTCATTTTGATTTCAGGCACTTTTACCAATAGCAAGGGAAGACTAGATTAACCATATGGCTGGAGGAAATGCTGGTGGTGCCCTCTGGGTAAGTGTTAGTCCAGTGTGATCTGTGAGTCCTAGATACAGCTCCCCACAGCCCTCTGTCATAAATATAAAGGGAAGGGTAAACCCCTTTGAAATCCCTCCTGGCCAGGGGAAAGCTCCTCTCACCTGTAAAGGGTTAAGAAGCTAAAGGTAACCTCGCTGGCACCTGACCAAAATGACCAATGAGGAGACAAGATATTTTAAAAAGCTGGGAGGAGGGAGAGAAACAAAGGGTCTGTGTCTGTCTGTATGCTGGGTCTTTGCCGGGGATAGACTAGGAATGGAATCTTAGAACTTTTAGTAAGTAATCTAGCTAGGTATGTGTTAGATTATGATTTCTTTAAATGGCTGAGAAAAGAATTGTGCTGAATAGAATAACTATTTCTGTCTGTGTATCTTTTTTGTAACTTAAGGTTTTGCCTAGAGGGGTTCTCTATGTTTTTGAATCTAATTACCCTGTAAGATATCTACCATCCTGATTTTACAGGGGGGACTTCTTTATTTCTATTTACTTCTATTTTTTATTAAAAGTCTTCTTGTAAAAAACTGAATGCTTTTTCATTGTTCTCAGATCCAAGGGTTCGGGTCTGTGGTCACCTATGCAAATTGGTGAGGCTTTTTACCCAACATTTCCCAGGAAAGGGGGGGGTGCAAGTGTTGGGAGGATTGTTCATTGTTCTTAAGATCCAAGGGTCTGGGTCTGTAGTCACCTAGGCAAATTGGTGAGGCTTTTTACCAAACCTTGTCCAGGAAGTGGGGTGCAAGGTTTTGGGAAGTATTTTGGGGGGAAGGACGCGTCCAAACAGCTCTTCCCCAGTAACCAGTATTAGTTTGGTGGTGGTAGCGGCCAGTCCAAGGACAACGGGAGGAATATTTTGTACCTTGGGGAAGTTTTGACCTAAGCTGGTAAAGATAAGCTTAGGAGGTTTTTCATGCAGGTCCCCACATCTGTACCCTAGAGTTCAGAGTGGGGGAGGAACCTTGACACCCCCAATGAAGAATGGATTTAAATTTGGGACTACAGGATATTCTGGTGTGGGGCCTTTCTCAGTCTCTCCTATTGAAGTTCCACTTTTTATAAATAATTAAATAGCTAGTGGATCAGGGACTTGAACTGAGGTCTCCAACCTGCTAGCTGAGTGCCCCAACTAATCCATGGGCAGTAGAGTCATTCTCACTGTCTTTCCCTGGCTCAATGACTATTCACTGTCATTAATTGTCATTCTTACCACTAAGAATAACACAATACACTCACACCGTATTCCTCATAGTCACACTGTAATGCAATCCCTAACTCTGTCCTCCTACTTTCCCATGGGGTAAATAGCGCAGCATGCAGTTCACCTGCACATGGATGTCTGGCAGACACACATTCCTGAGATCACAGTAAAAAAATTGCCTTATAGTGTGATTGTGAAGCACATGGTGTGTGTTGTGTTACTGTGCATGTTCTCAGGTGAGACCAAACTTTTCTGATTCCTTCTCCCCCAAAGATGAGGGACTATTCCCCTTGTCCTCTGATTCCTCTCAAGGGTCTTTTCTCTTTCACTGGGTCTGGTGATTACGGCTTAGATGTTTACTCCCTCATCTTCATATTAAACAGGAAGTTTGGGCTTGCACGGGGCAAGCTGCAGTGGTGTTCAGCGCGAGAAGATTTCCCTGGAAAAGGAATAAGCAATTTAAGGGTTGAAGCACTTTCCTGGTACGGATCCCCTGCTATCTCTTGTTGTTTCCTGGCAGGCTGCTACTAAAAGGATCAGGTACCAGGCATGCCATGGAGGATTCTGTTTTCTAGTCAGTTTGCAGTTAGAGAAGGTGAACCGCCAGCAGTTTGACTTCTTATAACAGTAGGTGGATTTTCATCCTTACACCAGGAAAGACTCCTTCTGCAGTCTACTACTGTATGTGGAAAGTCTTCTGATGCTGGGGAGTTAAACGCTATTAGAATCCCAAATCAAGCCTTTCCAAAAACTCTCACAGATTTTTGTATGGTGGCTTCCATCAAAGGTTTTAGCCTCAGCATCTTTTGAGTACAAGTAGCCCCTTGGGAGTTTGAAGGGTTTCTCCTAGTAAAGATAGTTTGGAATCTCACCTTCACATTGCCAGATTTCAGAAGGCCATGGCTAACCTTTCTCCTGTGGTTGGAAGCTCCTATCAGTAGCTGGACATTTAACTTGGTTCTGCCACATATTAATGGAATAGCTCTTTGTATCAGTGGCAACCTCATCCCTATACTTCCATTCAAGATCTGTTGCTTTTTTAAGTAGTGGCAGTCCTGTAATACCATGGACAAACCATACTGAATTAAAATAAACCTTACTGAATTACATGTAATACCTTTGGGGTCCATTGTATTAAAGTGTAATTGTTTGTGTTACTGTGAAGATTGCATATAACTTTGCTAGGGGGACAGGGTATGCTAATGTAATTCCTCCAGTCAGAAGCATTTCGAAGCCACTGTCTGCAAAAGTTTGCATATACTAATTCAAACTGGAATCTCCAGGGACCCACAAACAAAGAAAAGACTTTGGCATAAATAACTTGTGTTTAAACTGATTCAGGGCCTTCTTCCTGATCCAGCAAATGGATAGGACCTCTGGTCCACGGAGGGTCCCAATCCCTAGGGAGGGGTAGAAGGACTTGGCCTAGTGAGACCCCAAAAAACAGAGTTCTCATTCTGAGCAAAGGATACAAGAAAACACCTGGGTGGGGTTTTGAAGGACTGCTACTGCCAGAACCCATGTCGGAGGGGGTGATCTCTGTTACACTTATTAGCATGAATGTTGGTTCTTTTATTATTTGTAATATGTTTTCTCTATAGCGCTTTGACCTTCGGAATAAAATATGTTTGCTTAGAAAGAACTGCATGGTAACTTATAACTGGGGCTATTATGCTGTGTATTGTCTCTGAGGAGAGGAGTGAATCAGACCTGCTTAGGCAGATTGTTGTTTGCTGGGAATAACACAGTGATGGCAGGGAACTGTGCAGCCTGAAAATATCCCACTCAGAAAGGAGAGAGACATGGGCCTCCTCCCAGGAGAGGCAGTGGCCAGGGGAGTTGGAAGCCTAAGAGGGGGTGCCCTTGATGGATCACTGAGGGGAAATAATGGTGCAATTCCCTGAATTGTGACAATTCCAATCAACTTCTCCAGAAGTTAACTGTGTTATCTAATAAATCCCCTTTTCTTCAGCTTTTACCAGACAAAGTAGTACTCAGAACTATTCCAGAATTCCTGCCTAACAGAGTTCTCCTTGTCATTTCCATCAAAACACCGCTCTCCTAAACCTACCCTTCTTAAGAGTTCAGATGTCTACAGGGCCATCAAATTCTCCCCGTGCAGGACAAAATCTGATGCCTTGTTCTGCTCCTCTG